TTTCAACCTGTGTTGAACCCAGACGGACTGGATACATGGATGCCAACTGGGACAAAGCCTCACCTGATGGAAAATCTACAAGTGGATACTTGTTCAACTATGGAGACAGTTTAATTACATGGACTTGTCAAAAGCAAAGTATTGTAGCCATGTCTACTGGAGAAGTTGAATGTGTATCAGCGCAAACCGCAAGCTATGAACTTTACTGGATCATACATCTATTGAAGGACTTTGGCATAGATGAACCAAAGCCAATAATTCTTTTTGAGGACAATCAAGCCTGTATTGCTATCTGCAAAGGAGAAGGCACCAAATCTAGAAACGAGACCATCGCACTCAAGTGTCGCTACGTGAAAGAACTGCAAGACCAAAAACTGATTGAACTGAGATACTGTTCTACTGACCAGATGATTGCTGACGTCCTGACCAAGCTGCTTGACAAGCAACGTTTTGAGACTCTTCGTGAATGTTTATATTTGTCTGACTTTCGTGTTTTAACATGAGAAGGGGTGTTGGGTATTGCATGTTGAAAACACTCAGTGTGTGTGTATGGGATTAAATGTCTGTTTTGTTGTCACAGGAAATCACCTGCCTTTGTGTTATCCAATGTTAGCTTAGACCTGCAAGCCCGCGAAAAGCATCCCTGTTCTGAGAGTTTGATTGGGAGCAAAGTGTTAGTGTCTTTGCATTTTATGGCCCCTTCTTTGTTCTGTTTGTTTGTAGAGAGAGGATGTAGCTGAGATAGCTGTGTTGTTATTTTCTCCCAGTTACCCTTCCCTATGGTAGAATTGTAGTACATCTTTTATATTTTAAACACACAATGGACTCTGCGTCTGATTATTGAACTCTGGCATTGCTAAACTGTTTTATTCTCTGCTGAAACACAATTTTCATAAAGAAACTCCAACACATTTCCATCAGGAAAAAATACTGATTGCTCCATATCTTTGGGTATGGCAGACAGCACTGAAATCAGGTCCATGCCTGGCATTTGCTCCCTTCCTTGACCCAGATGATGGGAAGGGGCTGCTCCTTTGCCAGCCCCCTCCCCTGCTCCCCCCCTCCTCACCCAACCCTGACTCCCCCCTCGCCAGCCACCGGCGCTCCCCCCCCCCAGCAGACCCGTACCTTCAACACTAGGTGCGTCAACATCTGGAGGCCACTCTTGCCTGGATACTTTCCAGCCAGGTTGTCTGGCGAGAGGTCAAAAAGGTTGGCACCCGTCTCAGTGCACACAGCATGAACCAGCATCTTCTTCCCGGTGCCCGCTGGACCCACGAGAAGGATGGATCTCACCAGGGGTGCCAACTCATGCACGGTTGGGGAGCCTGTGGGGGTGGGGGAGGAGAGTCAGGCCCCCTCCCCCCAGGAAGCAGGTCTGTGCTCCAGGGGAAGGAGGTCAAGTAGCACCTGGGAGGGGGGGGGAGGGCAGGGTGTGCCACGGACTGGGAGCAGCACGAGATCCTACCGAGACGCAAGATGGCATAGAGAGCTATGTTCTGCCGCACATCTAGCATAGAAGGTATCGGCTCCGTCTCTGCCTGGCGCAATGTGGTGCCCAAGTAACAGAAGTCTCCTGTGGGGAAAGGAGATGCAAGAGAGGAAGGGGGGTCACCTACGTGCCGCGTCAGCCGCACAAGCCAGAAGGCCCACCACCACGCCCACGGCAGGAGGACTGGGCAGGCCCCCTCTGGCAGGCCCCTCGATGGTTCGATGGCTGCATGCAACCAACCGGGCCCTCCCCCACGCAGAGGCCCCCTCCAGCACCGCCCGCCACTGTGCGAGTCACTCCGGGCAGCAAAGGGACTCTTCTGTGCCCAGAGGGCGGCTCCTGGGCTGGGGCTTATTTATGCGCTCCCTTTACAGCCCCACTTCCCCGCAAGTGGCCCTCGACAATCTCTGTCTCCTCCTCCTCCTCACAACAACCCTGTGAGGTGGAGTGAGTGTGTCTGCCTGGCCCCACATCACCCAGCCAGCTCCCACGGCAGAGTGGAGATCTCCACCGGGGGCTCCCCGATCCCAGGCCGACCCTCGGACTGTGCCCCACTGGCTGCTCCCAGAAGCAACAGATGTAGGAGGAGAGGGAAAAGAGGCCACACCTCCAAGCCACACACACAGTTCGCTTCTGGGCCTCCTGACGCACACAGCTTTCCGAAGCGGCTGGGCCAATATCCACGGAGGGCCGGTAGCCCAATGGCGATGAGCCACCACGGCCACCGAGAACCAGCCACCCGAACCCCAGAGGCAGGAATCCTTCTGCCGTCGCTGGGAACAAGGACCCCCGGGCAGACGGCCTCTCCCCCACCAATCCTTTCTGCCAACTCGTCCAGAGGGAATCAGACGGGCGGCCCCTTGGAGACGGGCGGGCGGGCTGACCGGACTCTGGCCAGGCCCTTCCAGGCCTGCTCTGCAGGGGGCTCCCTTGGACACGAATTGCCCATGGCGGCTGTGCCCCCCCACCATGCATCCTATGCAGCACCCACCCCCGTGACGCGTGCAGTCACACCCTTCCGGGCGATGCCCCTCCGAGTGCCTCCCGTGACCCAGGCAGTGGGTTTTGGGGTTTTTTTTGCGGTCACTCACCTGAGTAGTCAGTCAGCGGCACTTTCGGAGGCTTCCTGAGGATGCCCTGCAGTGCCAGCTCCTCATAGAGAGAGTCAATGGACCTGGGGGGGGAGGGGGAGGGACAACGAAGTCACCCCAGACTGGGGCCAAGGAAGGGGCACCGGAGACCGCCGGGGTGGGGGGGCAGGAGGATGGGGCGCCCCACTCTCCCCTGGGAATCCCACCCAAGGCCAAGCCCGCAGTGGCACACCACCGTGTCCTCAGCTGTGCTGGAGAGGGGGGGGGTGTTTCGTGGTGGCTTCCACAGCCCCTCCCCGCAGAAAGGGCACGCCGCAGCCTGAGCCCGAGAGCCCTGGACAGCCCCGGCTAGCCTGACCTTGTCCGGTCTCCAAAGCTGAGCAGGCTCAGCCCCCTGGCTGGGATCTGGATGGGAGACCTCCAGCGAATACCAGGGCCACCACGCCCGGAACGACCGCTGGACGACTCTGGCCTTGAAAACCCTCTACGGGGCCACTAGAACTCCGCCGTGACTGGACGGCACTTCCCCCTCCCCACCCCCCCCACCCAACACGAAGATGGTTTCAGAGGGGGTGGCCACGTGAGCCCACAGTGTGTGCATGTCAAGTGCCGTCGGATCACAGCTATCTTCGTTGGGTGTCGTGGGTGAAGTGCGCAGAGGACTCTAATCTGGGAGAACCGGGCTTGATTCCCCACTCCTCCTCCACTCACACCTGGCTGGATGACCTTGGGCAAGCCGTAGTTCTTCTGATAAGAGCTGTCCTTGGAAAAGAGCAGTTTCTGTCCAGAGCTCTCTCAGCCCCACCTACCTCACAGGGGGTGTCTGTCTGTTGTGGGGAGGGGAAGGAGTTTTTAAGACCCTCTGAGACTCCCTTGGGTAGTGAAGGGCCATGGGGTATGAATCCAATCTCTTCTTCTTCTCATGGCCACCCCAAAAAGGGGCTTTCCGGGCAAGTGAGACGCAGAGGCTGGGGGGGGGCTTGCCTTCCCCTGCAGAGTCTTCCTCGGTGTCACCCTTCCAACTACGGACTCTGCTTAGCTTCCAAGATAGGGCTGCGCCAAGCGGCCTTCCCTCCCTAGGCCACAGCCGGAGGACAAAATCCAAGTCCAGGAGCACCCAAAAGACCAACAAGAATTTCCTGCCTTATAAGCTAGGGTGTGGGTGTGTGTGTGTGTGTGCAGAGGCAAAGGCCGGATAAAAAAGGGGGTGACAGTGGGAGGGGCCTTCCAGTTTGGTGCAGTGGTTAAGTGTGCGGACTCTAATCTGGGAGAACCGGGTTTGATTCCCCACGCCTCCACGTGCACCTGCTGGTGTAACCTTGGGTCAGTCACAAGCTCTGGCACAGCTGTCCTTGAAAAAGAGCAGTTTGTGTCAGAGTTCTCTCAGCCCCACCCACCTCACAGGGTGTCTGTCTGTTGTGGGGAGGGGAAGGGAAAGGAGATTGTAAGCCGCTCTGAGACTCCAGGTGAAGGGCGGGGGATAAATCCAATCTCCTCTTCTCCTCCTCCTCCAGTGTCCTCCTGGCCCCACAGGTGGACCTCCTGAGGGCCCCTGGTATTTCTGGCCACTGTGTGACAACAGAGTGTTGGACTGGAGGGGCCACGTGCCTGATCCAACACTGGCTTCTCTCTTAGATTCTTATAAATTGAAACAAACAAAGAAATAAATTGTTGGGTATTACATGTTAAAAACACTCAGTATATACGGGGTTAAATGTTTTGTTTGTGTTGTCACAGGAAGTCACATGTGTTTCATTTAGCCAATGCTAGTTTAGATGCTAGGAGCCCTGATCTAGGAGTTTCATTGGAAGCAAAGTGTCAAAGTGTTTTAGCATTTTATGGCTTCTCTTCCTCTCTTTGTGTGCTTGTTCTGAACAAGAAGCCATTATCGCACCTCTTCTAGTCTAGCCGTTGTAGTGTGAAGATGTAGCTGTTTAGCTCTGTTGTTATTTTCATCCCAGTTACCCTTCCCCATGCTAGAATTTAGTAAAAACTTTCTATTTTAAACACACATGGACTCTGGGTCTGAATTATTTTACTCTGGCGTTGCTAAGCTATTTTATCTCTGCTGAATTACAAGTTTTATTTTTCAAAACCCCAACAAAAGGTTTTGGGCACCAGTAAGCCTTCAGCTGTGGCCAGAGATCAGATTCAAAGGAAAACCCATGTGTGTTAGGAATCTTTTCTAAGACAGAAGTTCTTTTTCTTGATTTTTAAACTTGCATTGGATTGTATAGCATCCAGGCAACATCCTGATTTTCTCTCCAAGAGTTTGTGGGACCAGACTGAATGTTTGTGTCTTCAAACCGGAGAATCGTCTGTGGCATTTGATCTGGACTGTTTTCATTCCTGAGAACCGGAGCTCGAGAGCCGAACGCAGGAGGAAGGGGGAGAGAGAGAGCGGTCCTGCCGTTTCCTGCCAGCGCTGCTGAAAAGCCTCTATCCCTGTGCAGATCAAAGGATCGTCGGTTTCCTCACAAATTTCTACAGTTGGCTGAGTATTACCTTAGACAGAATGTCGGCTCACAAAAATCTTGCTTTCTTTAACCTTCCGATTTTGAACTCTAGTAACTTTGCATGGTGGAACAGATCAATAAGGAATGCTTTACAGTCGCATTCAGCCCTTTCTGTTCTGGAAGATGGCGAGCCTCCCCAAGCAGGAAATGCCCTGGCTAAATACCAGGAGCTTGATGGCTTTGCAATGTCCTTAATCATGAATTCTGTTGATGGTAGAGATAATTTGGAACTTTTAAAATGTGCAAGCACTAAGCAGATGATGGAAAAACTTGAGCAAGCTTATGCTTCCAAAAATGATGCTAATTACGTGTTCCTCCATCAAAGGCTTTTCAATGCGCGCATGCAGAGTGGCCAGTCCATACTTAAACATTTGAATTTTATTATGGAAGCTTATAATGCTCTCGAGGAGACAGAAGACGCACCAAGCGACAAGGCAGTAATATCTGTAGTTCTTGGTTCTTTAAGCAAAGAATTTGCACACGAGGTTGCAGCTCTGAAAGCATCTCAGAATCTAACTTTAGACCATGTCCTAGCATACTTAAAAGATGAGGGCCATAGAAGAGAAATCCTTAAAATTGCAAATGACTTGTCTGTGTTGAGTATTAAATCTGATTGTGAGAGGAAGAATGACAAGAGAGATGTTAAATGTTTTCAGTGTGGGAAATTTGGGCACGTCGCAAGAAACTGCCGGTCAGAGAGTTTGCCTAAATCAAAGGATTTGCAGAAACAAAGAGATCAAAGGCCTCACGCCAAAACTAACCGCGCCAAAACTAACCGCTCTGAAACAGGACCCCCTAAGGGGTGTGGCCAAGGAAAGCCAAACGGTCACACTGTGAGACGGAGTGTGTTTGCCATAACAGAGAAGGAGCAGAGAGCTGATGTTGTAAACCAAGTGAGCAATATGCATGTGTGACGACCTCTTATCTGGGGAGGTCTGGTTTTACTTTAAAATGTTCTTTATGTTTTGTTTTACTGGGTAATCCAGCTGCCACCAGGAAATTTATAAGGCTTTCCAAACCTTTATAATATAATATCTATCACTGGGTAGGTATACCGAGGGTCTAGGCTTTCATGAAGGTCTATGTGGTCTGAGGAATATTCTTTCGGGAGCTGGTATACTTGAATGAAATAAAATTTATTTAAATAAAGCATAAATACGAGGATAGAACAATGTAAACAGTACTGGGAATGATTTGAACAATTGCTTGGTGTCTCTCACAAGCTTTTCCTTTACTGACAGGGAGGTTTCAAGTAACTTTGTAACATAAACTCAAGGTCATGCAAGTTCACTATTTCTCTCCTTCAGGCCTCAGAATCAACTCCTTATCAACTGTCTTATTCAACTCTCAGACATAGAACTTAACAACCCACACAGGGAAGCTTCTCCTTCTCTCTCATACATAGCTTAACTGCCCTTCCCCTGACTTCATCAACTGTAATCTCTAACTGACCCTCTTGATAGACATTCAAATCCTCCACACAGCATCCATTCCAACCCCCCCCTCTGTCACTCACCAATCATATCACTTGCCTAATTCCAGCACTCTAGATTATCATCACAGCCATGCAAACCAAACTTTTAAAGCCACACACACACAGTTAAACATGAAATCATTACAGCATGCATTATCTGTCACTAATGACACTGATATGAAAGATGATTCATTTTTGTTGGATAGTGGAAGTGGATTACATGTTGTAAATTCTGAAAAATGGACAAAAACTTTACACCCAGTCTTCAAGGGGCTGAAGGTGAAACCCTCTCAGTTAAGGGGTCTGGATCTATCAAACTATACGGTTTGAACCATTGTAACCAAGTTGTTGAAATTACACTCAAAGACTGTGTTTTAATCCCAAATGCAATTAACAATCTCATATCCACAAAGAGAATCATGCCGAATGGTCTCAATGTTGATCTCAGACCAAGCTATGGAAAGATTTGGAGTGAGAATGGATTTAATGTGATGCTGGAAGCAAACAATGGCTTTCATTACCTGAGAAATATTGCTGATGCTGATTTTGATGATGACAAAGAAGCTGATGGGCTGGTATGCCAAACCAGGTCAGCTGAATGCAATCGTAAAGACTGTTTATTTGCATGGCATGTAAAGTTTGCATATAGAAATGTGAAAAGTGTGCAACAGTTATTAAAGGAATGCAATATTGAAGCAGCAGAATGTGAGGTCATGAGAAATGGCTGTGATGTTTGTCTAAAATCTAAAGGCACAGCTCCCTCTTACAAAAACAGACCTCATGACTCCAACACTAAGTTTCTAGAGTGTGTCTACTCTGATTTAGTTGGTCCAATACGAGAATCTGCTGGTGGAAGCAAGTACTTTGTTAGTTTTCTGGAAGGAAAATCCAGATATGTTTATACCTACCTGCTTAGGAGCAAAGATGAGGTGCTTGACAAGTTTAAATACTATGTAGCTGCTGTTAAAAACAAATTTGGCAAAGTGCCAGATGTGCTGTTCACAGATAATGGCACAGAGTACTGCAGCAGTGAGTTCCAAAGATTCATGGAACAAGAAGGAATTGAACATAAGACTACAATTCCTTATTCACCTCAACAAAATGGAACAGTGGAACGCTTAAACAGAACCATACAAGAAATGGTGCATTCTATGCTAATGCAATCTGGACTTTCAGAGTCTTACTGGGCAGAAGCAGTCCACACTGCCGTCTATCTGCATAACAGAGTTCCATCAAAAGCTACCAATAAAGGTCCTTTTGAATTATGGCATAACAGAATGCCTGGACTTAAACATATAAGAGCCTTTGGATCTAAAGCTTATGCACATATACCAAAGGAGAAAAGAGGCAAGCTTGACCCAAGAGCAGAACCTGGTATCCTGGTGGGATATGCCTCTGGAGGAAAAGGATACAGAATCCTGAACCCTAAGACCTGCACAGTTAAAGTATGCAATGTGGTACATGTAGATGAAAGCAATGTTCTACTGACTTCTAACCTGGCTGAGTCCACAGTGCAACCTGCTACTCAGGAACCTACAGATGTCTCCTTCTTCAACGTGTTCGCTTGGCAATCTGTGCAGACCACCTGTGAACAGGCAGGTCCATCTCCACAAGAGAGTTCCAGCTCAGAAGGGGAACCTGGAGAAGCTACGCCAAGGGTAAAAGAGACAACCATTGTGAGACAATCAGCAAGGAGTACCAAAGGTGTACCACCACCGATGTATGGAATTTGTGCAAATGTACAACCAGAGAAGGAGCCTTGTAAATGGAACGAAGTCAATCAACCACCTACATCAAAAGACTTCTCACAAAAATTTGGAGTTGATTTATCAGAGTTTTCTGCACCTGTTGTGAACTATACATCCTTCAGGACACTCTTAAGCATAGCAGCCTCAAGGGGCATGCATATTGGACAACTGAATGTCAAAACTACTTTACTCAATGGAGAACTGAATGAGGAAATCTACAAAGCTTGGAACGAAAAGCTGACTACACTGTTACAAAAGCAGAACTTTCAACAAGGAATAACAGAACCTTGCTTGTTCTCAAGACTTAAAAATGGAAAGTATCAATACCTACTCATTCATGTTGATGATTTGATTATTTGCTGTCAAAATCAAAGAGATGTACAGGAAATAGCTGATGAACTGAACAAGGAAGTTGAAGTGAAACAATTAGGAATCGTAAAATACTATCTTGGAATACAAATTGAAAGAACTGATGATGGAACTTTTCTTTTTTTTCTTTTAAGTTCTTTTTATTAATTTTCTCATAAACAGATTTCAGTAACATCACTATTAACAGATTTCAACAATTTTGCATACAATTTATCTTGCAGAGTTATGGATATAGCTTTCATATATAGACAACAACAACATCTAAAAAACAGATTAACTTTAACTATAGGCATGCTAACAAGTATTTCGATTTCAGCTAAGTTATTTATTAGTTTCAAGACCAAGGTAAGTGATCAATTCTCCTATTCATTCAGAACCAAATTGCACTTTAGCATTATCTTCCATTATAATTCCAGTGTTATGATGACAACTATTGGTTTAGTATGGGTAAGTATGTAGAGTTACTAGGTTGCAGGTCAGAGGCAAAAATGAACTCCATAAAGGGAAGCCATTTCTTTGCAAAATTGGACTGTTTAGGGTAGATTTCAGATCGGCGAATGTGATCCGTTATCTTCTCCAAGATTAGGTGGTCCCATACTTTATTCAACCAGCAGGATCGAGATGGAGCTTTATCTGCTTTTCATCTAGCTGCAATGGAAGTCTTAGCTGCTACGAGAAGACTAGTGATAAGGTCCTGAAGAATTGGTGGTATTACTATTGTGTCCCATCTATCTAAAAACAATAAAGCTGGATCAAACGGTATGACAAAACCAGTGATTAGTTTGATTTGGCCTAGCACGTCATGCCAGAACTGTTGGATGTGGTCACACTGCCACCAACAATGTGCGAAGGTGCCGATGTTTCCACATTTCTTCCAGCAGAGTGGCGAATGACTTGAAGTCATCTTGGAGAGTTGCTCTGGCGTCAGGTACCATCGGGTGATGATCCTGTGCGTCTGCAATTTCGTTGAGATGACAGGCAAAGTAATCAATTTAGATTTCCATATTTGCTGCCATTGAAGGGGAGTTATGGTGTTTCCACAATCATGTTGCCAATGTTGTTGCTGTCTCATTGGTGCTTCTCCTGTTTGACAAATTAGGACATCGTATGTCGCTGTGATAATACCTTTAGACACTGTGTTTTTAGGGTCAATTAGTTTTTCAAAGGGAGTCATCGGGACTTTCAGTAGGTAGGTTAGGTCCAAGTGTTGAACCAGAAGGATTTTCAACGGAAGGACAAGAAGGCCTAGTGTGCAAACGCAACAAAAGCGTTTATGGATTAAAACAAGCAGCGAAAGCATGGAATGACAAACTGACTAACCTGTTACAAAAACAGAACTTTCAACAAGGAACAGCAGAACCATGCTTGCTCTCAAGACTTAAAAATGGACAATATCAATACATACTTATTTATGTTGACGACTTGGTTATTTGTTGTCAAGAACAAGGAGATGTACAAGAAATAGATGAATTGAACAAAGAAGTTGAAGTGAAACAATTAGGAACTATAAAGTACTACCTTGGAATAGAAATTGAAAGAACTGAGGATGGGAGTTTTCATTCGAACCAAAAGCAAAAGATCATGGACTTTATTGAATCTATAGGAATGAAAGACTGTACTCCTGTAAGCACTCCAATGGATAAGGACTATCCCAAGCTTATTGATGGAAAACCACTAAGAGACAATCATGAGTACAGATCAGCAATTGGAAAATTATTGTATCTGAGCACAATCTGTCGTCCTGACATAACTTCAGCTGTTGGACTTTTGTGGAGAAAGACCAGTTCACCTAATGAGCATGACTGGAAAGCTATTAAGAGACTTGCAAGATACCTAAAAGGAACTTTGGATTACAAACTTAAAATTTCAGCCTGCGATGAACCAAGACTGACTGGATACATGGATGCCAACTGGGACAAAGCCTCACCTGATGGAAAATCTACACGTGGATACTTATTCTACTATGGAGACAGTTTAATTGCATGGACTAGTCAAAAGCAAAGTATTATAGCCATGTCTACTAGAGAAGCTGAATGTGTATCAGCACAAAGTGCAAGCTATGAACTTTACTGGATTATACATCTACTGAAAGACTTTGGCATAGATGAACCAAAGCCAATAATACTTTTTGAGGACAATCAAGCCTGTATTGCCATTTGCAAAGGTGAAGGCACCAAATCTAAAAACAAGACCATCGCACTCAAATGTCACTACGTGAGAGAACTGCAAGACCAAAGACTGATTGAACTGCAATACTGTCCTACTGACCAGATGATTGCTGACATCCTGACCAAGCCGCTTGACAAGCAACGTTTTGAGACTCTTCGTGAATGTTTGAATTTGCATGACTTTCGTGTTTTAACTTGAGAAGGGGTGTTGGGTGTTATACGTTAAAAACACTTCAGTATATATGGGGTTAAATGTTTGTTTGTGTTGTCACAGGAAGTCACATATGTTTCATTTAGCCAATGCTAGTTTAGATGCTAGGAGCCCTGATCTAGGAGTTTCATTGGAAGCAAAGTGTCAAAGTGTTTTAGCATTTTATGGCTTCTCTTCCCGTCTTTGTGTGCTGTTTCTGAACAAGTAGAGAAGCCATTATCGCCGTCTTCTAGTCTAGTCATTGTAGTGTGAAGATGTAGCTGTTTAGCTCTGTTGTTATTTTCATCCCAGTTACCCTTCCCCATGCTAGAATTTAGTAAAAACTTTCTATTTTAATCACACATGGACTCTGGGTCTGAATTATTTTACTCTGGCATTGCTAAGCTATTTTATCTCTGCTGAATTACAAGTTTTATTTTTCAAAACCCCAACATAAATAAATAATGAACACCGAACTACCTCTGACTCACAAACGCTCCCCCATTCTGGTGAAAATTCCACTGGTCTTTAAGGTGCCTGCTGGGCTCAGATTTTGTTCTTCACTAATATGAATCATCCCAGACAAAAACTGGGCCAGGGCAGGGCAGGGCAGCCCCCCCCCCCAGACTCCTCCTTGGAGACGTCTCCTAGCTCAGCAGGGTGGCCCCAGAGATTGTTCAGGGTAGGCCGGAGGGAGTTTGTGGCCAGGGGAGGGGAACGGGGGCGGGGAAGTACCTGTCAGGCGTAAGATCTTTCTCCTTTTTGCCTTTCTTCCCTTTCTTCTGCTCCAAGCAAACCAAAGAAAATCTTTTCTACAAACCTTCTGAATGAGGGTAGATGGAAAGGATTCCCCCCCCACCACCACAAGTGACACTCAGGCCCTGCTGAAGTCGCCCTCAACCACCAAGACAGACCATTTGCCCCTGTCCTTGGAGTGGGAGAGGCTCTTGGGGTTGAACCAGGGGACCCCCCCCCCGTTGCAATCCAAGTGGCCTTGTGGGGAGGTGGAGGCCGAGGGGCAGAGGCCTCCTCACCTTGGCACTCTTCTTGGCCTTGGGGGGCTTGCCAGCTTTGCTTTCTTCCAGGTCCACAGCCAGCCGCAGAGTCTGAAGTTCCTCGCGCATCAACTCATCCACCTGGGGAGGCGACACCAACAGTCCAGGAGGGCTGCCCCCCCTCCTCGGGCCTCTCCAGGCCCTGCCCCCCCTCCTCCAGGACTGCCCCCCCTGTTTTGGAGTTGCAGGGGTGGCTGACATTTCAGTCACTGTGGAGTTCAGTGCCGCTGTTAACTGCATCATCTGCAGGAGCCGCGTTTAGTCAAGGCGGGAAATACATTGTGGGAGTTGTTTATCCCAATGAAGTGACCTTCGGCCGTTTCTACTGGTCAGCTAGCAGCTGGTTTGAAGAAAGGCTTTAATCTCGCATTCAGAAGTTTCTGGCTCTCTGTTTAGCAACAAGAAGGACAGACGCCATCTTTCTCAACCCACCTGCAGCCGTATCTCGGCCGCCACCTCTTTCTGCTTCTCGGCCCGGATGAGTTCGGCTTCGTATATATGTGGAGCAGCCATTTCTGGGCACTCCATCAGAAAGGGGGGGGGGGGGGGGGAGAGAAAGAGGGTGTTTCCCAGGAGTCATTGCCCCAGCGCCTCTCCCCCAAGTGGATAAAGCCAGAGATGCCCCTGAGTCGGACTTCCCACAGCCAGCCACCTTGGCCAGGGGCTGCATGTCCTACAGCAGGGCCAAAGGAAAGGCTGCGCAGGAGGGGAGGGAGGGCGCTGGCCAGCTCCCAGAAGGGCTCCCACCCCCCACCCCCGGAGCTCCAACAGGATGCCTTCTTTCTCCCTCCCTCCCTCCCTCCCTCCGAGCTTCTGCCAGGGCCTGACACACACACACACACACACACACACCCCCGCAGGCAGAACGCAGGACCGCTCACAGCACCTTCCGGGCCCTCACCTGTGTATTCCTGGAAGCCTTGGTCAATAGCGGTCAGGAACTTGGAGGGGGAGAGCTTCAGTCCTTCGTCTTCCTCCTGTGAAAGAGCAGCTCCAGCTAGAGGTGAAATCCACCACCTCCCCCCCCCCCGCCTCTGTGCCCCCCTGCTCCCCGGGGGCCGCGTCCCCGGGGCCCCTCTTCTGGGGGGGGAGGGAGGGAGGGAGGGAGGGCCTCAGCTGAAGTTCTTGGGCGGGGGGGGGGTGCGCAGAGGAAGCAGGCAGGGCCTCTCTCTCACCGATTTCTTCTCCTTCCCTTTTTTCTTTTCCCCCTCCTTGGCTTTCTCCTTCCCTTTCTCCTTGTCCTTCTTCTTCTTCTTCTTGTCCACCTTGATCTCCGCCAGGTCTAGCTCAGCCCTCACCTGGGGAGGAGAAGCCCAAGAGCAGAAGACAGCTACCTGCTGGGGGGGGGGGAGGAGAAGCACCCAGCGGCCTGCGTCTTGGTGGTCCTCTACCTCTTCCGGGGTCTTTTGGGCAAAGAGGATTCTGGAGCCTCCAATCGCCTCCTCCGGGAAGTCGGGGAAGCGGCCAGTCAGGTCACTGGAGAAGACAGGGGTTCCAGAATCAGTCTGGGCTGCCCCCGGAGGCGGCACGGGTACGGACACGCGGGGCGGCTGGCGCCCCCCCCCCCCCGCCGGCTCACTGGCACTCGATGAACCACTGGCGAAGCTGCGCCTTCATCTCCTCGCGCATGCTCGGTCCCTCCACCTCGTAGACGGTGTCGCGGATACTGTGCAATGCCTCCCGGTACTCGGCCTCGTAGTCTGCCTGGCGCATGCGCCGGAACTCTTCCCCCAGTTGCGCGCGAATGCCGGCCGGCGAGGCCCCGATCAGCTCCGGCTCCAGGGCCTGCGGAGGGCGGCGGGGAGGAGGAGGAGGAGGAGAGGAGGCGGAGGCGGAGGCCGAGAGGGCCGGGCGGGTCGCACGCGGGGAGCGCGCCCAG